TGAACTGAGTTTTGGTTTTTGAGTCAGGGTACCACCATAGGCATTGCACCATTATCTACACAGCACTGACACTATTAGGTATGATAGTGACACAGAGAGAACTTAAAATATATGGGCGGGTGTGTGTAGAGGATATGCAGACACTTTCTTCATGTCAGGGCCTTAAGCATTCTTGGGTTTATGTCTGAAGGGATGGTGGAACCGGTCCCCTCTGTTATGGGGGGAGGGATGACAGATGGAACAGTGTGTGACCCATGGAAGGACTGCCTGCCTGGCATCTGGGCCCTGGTTCCCTGTCAGGGGACCCCGCTCCCTCGGGGCTTCTCCCTGAAGTTCAGCAGAGAGCACTGCCTTGGAGGAGGGCTGCCCTGCGGCAGCCAGAAGGCAGCAGTGGCCCCCAAGGTGTGTGGGGGTCCTGCATCCCGTCCCCTGCTCTGGTTTGAGGTCCTAGAGAACACAACACTGGGCTTTCAGCAGGTTGGAGATGGGATCCTGTCACTTGTTCAAAAGCATCCTAAGTGACCCACAGGCCTTGAGTCAGGGTAGCCTAGGACCTGACCTTCCCATTCTCAGATCCCAGGGTCTGAACTGGGGAGTCTGAAGGCTGCTGTTCCCCAGTTGGGAGCTCTTTGGGAGGACAGAGGGTAGGAGCAGAGGCCCAGGTGACTCACCTGGCCCGTCTTCTCCTTGTTGATGAGCAGGCGCGGGGTGGAGAGTGGTGCCCTAGGGGTGGTGAGCTGTGGGGTCAGGATCTTTCCTGGCTTCCCAGCCCCAGCCGCCCCGACAGCCCTGACCCGAACCTACTTGCCAATGAGAGAGGCGAAGGGCTGCACCTGCAGCGAGGTACCCATGATGATGAGGAGGTCCACTTTCCGGAAGTCCTGTGGGGCAGCAGCCAGTGAGCCCTTTACCTCTGCCTAGCCCCGCAGGGGTGGGGTGTGACCTCCCCCGGGGCTGCGGTGAGGCGGGCATCACTTACTGACTGCAAGCAGGAGAAGAACCGTGCCGGGAGGTTCTCCCCGAAAAAGATGATGTCTAAGGTGGAGGCAGAGACGGATTGAAGGATGGATGGACCCACAGTCAGAGGAGACAGTGTCATGGGGACAGAGGGGGACCAGCCAGAAGGACAGGACCCACTCTCACCAGGGGGGCCGGCATGCCAGCTGGAGGCAGGGTGGGGTTGTGGCTTTTGGGAGGGGACCCCAGCCCAAGTCCCCCCAGCTGGTGTGTGACCCCAAGGCTCACCAGGCTTCACCACGCTCTGACATTTCTCACACTTGGGGGTCACCTCTGAGAAGAGCTTCTCTGGCATGGGCAAGGGAAAAGGGGTGTGAGGCGGGGCTGGGGCTGCAGTACCTGCCTGCCCTTCCCCCACTGCTGGCATAACACCCAGCCACTGAGGGAACTTCCTGGGTGTTGCTCTGTTCCCTCCCTCCCCTCTGGGGGAGGCATTGAGGCCAGGGCCTCTACATGGAGCTACATCCCCAGCCCCTTCTATTGTTTATTTGGAGACAGTTTTGCTGTATTGCTCAGATGGGCCTTGAACTTGAGATCCTCCTGCTTCAGCCTCCCAAGTACTGCGATCACAGGTATATGTCCCCATGCCCAGCTACAGCTATTTTAAATGAAAAAGTGAACACAAAAGTTGGGTGTGGTGATGCTGACCTGTAATCCCAGCACTCTGGGAGGCTAAGGCAGGAGGATCACTAAGAGTCTGAGGCCAGCCTGGACTGTAGAGTAAGTTCAAGGCCTGGCTGAACTACACAGAAAGACCCTGGTTCAAAAAAAAAAGGACATGGAAGCAGCTGCCTGCCTGGAATGGGTGCACCTGGGTTCCAAGCCCCCCTCCCCGGGCCCTGGGACTGAAGCTCTTCCAGTGGCCTGATGGCAGCAGGGAAGGGAGGACGAGCAGATGGCCCTGGGATGGGGACAGAACCTTCGGCCCAGCTGCTTCCCGCCCTCATCCTGTGCCACTGCCTCCCTCATTGTTAGTGGATAAGGGAGGTTGGAAGTGGACAGCGCTGGAGTACAGGCACCCAAGCAGCCTCTCATTCTTCTCAGCCCTCATCTACGGAGCGTAGTGTCCAAAGCTGCCATTTAGGGAACTTCTGCATGGACAACAGGCTATTTTGTGGGGTGCCTCTGCAGAGGGACGTAATGGGGTGATAGCCATTGTGTCACCCCAGCTGCATGCAGTTGGGCTGTTCACGAATTGTCAGCCCAGGGGCAAGTCAGTTGGCATTCTGTCAGAAAGGCCACCCTCCCCAGGCCCTACTACAGATGCAACCGCTGTCCGGACCCCATGTGGACACCAGAGGCTTTGTTCAGGCAGCATAAAGAGGGTCAGAGAGGCTCTGGGGTGAGACGGGGCTCCTCACACAGCACATGCTGTCAGAAGCGGGCCCTCCAGGCGTGCAGACTGGCGGATTGTTTCTCTAGGACACTATCCTTACAGGCACTGGGACAGCAACTCCAACAAACCTTGGAGTCTCGCTCCAGCCCCCACCGAGGTCCCTAACCAGGCCTGTGACGAATTTCGTGCCCTTGTGTTTGCATTGCTGTGTGGCAGCCAAAGCCGAATGTGGCTTATACAATTTAAATGAATAAAAATTTAAGGAAATTAGTTAGGTACGGGGGTATATACATGTAATTCCACCCCTAAGGGAGGCCAAGGTAGGAGGACCCCAAGTTGGAACCCAGACTGAGCAACTGAGCTACTTAAAGAGATGCTCTCTCAACAAATACAAAGTCTGGGGATGTAGTTCAGATTGAAGGCCTTGTGTTCAACCTCCTGTACTGAAATAAAAAAATAAAAATAAATCCTGTTCCTCAGTCACATTAGCCCTTTCCCTCCCTCCTTCCCTCTCTTCCCTTCTCTCCCAGTCCTGGGGAGCAATGACAGAACTTTGTGTGTTTTGTGTTCACACAGGGTCTTGCTAAGTTGCCTCGGCTGGTGGCCTCAAACTTGTGATCCTCCCGCCTCAGGCTTATAAGTAGCTGTGTGCCACCATGCCCAGCACATGGCTACACGTAGCAAGGGGCTGGCGCGCAGGGCAGAGCAGGTGTGGAAGAGTTCCCTAATCTCAAAGCACTATGGGGCACTGCTCTTCTCCTCAGTGTGGCTCTATGTGCCCCTGTGGACCTTCCCTATAACGCAGGTCCAGGCTTCTGAGAAGGGGACACATAATGAGGGTCTCGTGATCCTGGAGAACTCTCAGAGCCCGTCTGTGTGTTCTGGAGTTTGGTGCGATGCTGACATGCGCGGCGAGCTGGCTGAGAGGGGCCACATCTGTAATCCCAGCACTCAAGGAGGATGACACAAGACAATCACTAGGCTGAGCTCAGCTTGAGCAACTCAGTGACTCAAGACTCTCTTCCAGAGATTGGAAAAGAAAGAAGTACGGGATGTAGCTTAGCCTGCAGGCCCTTGGTTAAATCCCTTGTAAACCCGCCCCCAGGGGACAAAATGCCCGCAAGCTGAGCAGGCCAGAGTGGGGGCCGCCACATGAGCAGCCCTGCCTCCTGGTGACCCTGGCCTCACCTTTCATCCAGTCCAGCGTGTACTCGCGCCGGCAGAGCTGGCTGGTGCAGTGTGATGTGTAGAAGGTGCCGTGGGCCTCCACCAGGTCCTCGGGCTCCAGGCCGGCCACACGCTCCAGGGTGTCGATGTTCTGGCAGGAGGAAGAGGGGTCAGCAGCGCATGCCCCCTCCCCCAGCTGGGCCACAGTTGGGGCGGGCAGAGGGGACATCGTTGACACTGGGGAGAATGCGCAGGCGGGGAGCAGGTGGGTCTGTGTGTCTGAAAATTGTTCTGTCACCCAGTGGGGCCACTGAAGGGTGAACGTTCAGGGCGCCACAAAGGCTGGGCCCCGACCCAGACCACTGTCAGGCCAGGCCCACTGCCACCACCAGCCCCAAGGCATTTTCCTGTCAGCTTAGGCTATTTTGTTTCTCCGAATTGTTTTGTTGGAGCCAGATGCCTTACTGCCACTTGCCAGAAAGCAGATGAAACAAATGTAAAGATGTACAATGTCTGTGTTGTAAAAGGAGCCCTCAGATACAGTGTCCTTGTGCCGGACCCAACCTGTACAGCCCCAGCCTGGCATGCACAGAAATAAACAAATCAGGAAGGTGTCTTTACCTTGCTTTTTGTTCTCTTTGGAGATAAGGTCTCACTACATAGTTTCTGCTGGCCTTGAGCTCACCATGATCCTCCCCTGTCAGCCTCCTCAGTGTTGGGGTTACAGGGGTGCACCATCATGCCCAGCTCTTACTTGGTTTAATTACAGTAATTTCCTACTTAGCAGTCAGAGTTCTTACTATGATGTTTCACACATGACATATTCATCTGTATTTCCCCCCCAACATTAGGGATTTCGGGGTGTGGTGGCACATGCCTGTAATCTCAGCACTTGGGAGGCTGAGGCAGGAGGATTGCTGGGAGTTCAGTCCAGCCTAGGCTACAAAGTGAGCTCCAGGCCAGCCTGAGCTGCATAGAGACCCTGTCTCAAAGACAAAAACCAAAACAAACAAACAAAACTAGGGAGTGACCTATCTTCACTATGGAACTACTTTTGTTTTGTTTTTGAGACAGGGTCTTCCCATGTAGTGTAGCCTGTCCTTGAACTCACAGCCAGCCTCCCCAGCTGGGATTACAGGTGTTCACCACCATGCCCAGCCAGAAACTACTTTTATATAACCTCCACTGGCCAGCTCCCTTCCCCAGAGGCCACTGCTGTGACCTGTTTTTTGTATCGCCTTTGGAATTATTCTATAATCAAGCAAAATACAAGTACACAAACTCACATAGTTAAGCATCACCTGACGTTTTGGTCAGTTGTGGGCCATATATGTGGCAGAGGTCCCAAAAGACTGTACCATGTGGCTGGGTACAGAAGGACAGGCCTATAGTACCAGGTCCTATGCTGTGGAGGCTGAGGATCAGTTGAGCGTAGGAGTTCATGATCAGTCTGGGCAACATGGTGAGGGCCTCATGAATAAAAGGATGTGGGGGATAGGAAGGGTGTAGTTTAGTGGTAAAATACATGCTTACCATAGCTGAATCCCTGGGCAGACCCCCAGGAGCGAAACAAAAAAGATTATGTTGCCAGGTGACAATGTATCCATGCTGTGTAAGTGTCCTCTATGACAGCAGGATACAACCCCTTAGCAAACGCTTAACTGTGTGAGAGTTTGTATACTTGTATTTTGCTTGATTATACAATAATTCCAAAGGCGATACAAAAAAACAGGTCACAGCAGTGACCTTCCCCTCTGGGGTAGGGAGCTGGCCAGTGGAGGTTGTATAAAAGTAGTTCCTGGCTGGCTTCCTGCTGCAGGCCTGTAATCTCTGCACTCTGAGAAACTGAAGCAGGGGGATCACAAGTTCAAATCTGGGCAAACAGGGAGACCGTGTCTCAAAACTTGCTTGTGTCTTGTTGTTCCCCTGAAGCCTCATGCAGGCATTGGGGCAACTTCTAGAGTTTCTGATTGATTCGTGATCCAGTGCTGGGATTAGGGGTGTGACTGTTACACCCGCCCTGGGGCAGGTAGCCTGAACAGAATGAAAGGAAGGGAAACAGGCCTGCTAGCTGCTGCAGCTGCTACTCCTCCCTTTGCTCTTCGCTGTTTTCTGTCACCATCAATGGCTGTCCTCTGCCACAAGCCACTCTGCCCTGGAGCCAGCTGAGTATGGACTGAAACCTCCAATAGCAGTGAGCTAAATAAACCTTTCCTTCCTTAATTTTGTGTATTTTGTTCTAGCAACAAGAGAAAAGTAACCAAGACAAAACTTTAAGTAAATACATAAATAGGACTGGGGATACAGCTCAGTAAAGTCCTGAGTTCAAGTCCTAGTATGTAACACACAGACACACATATACACAGACACACATACACAGCCTGTTTCCCTCAATGATGCTCTCATTTTTTTCCCTCCACTGATGTAGGTTTAGGTTGAGGAGAGAAGTTGGGGGCTAGGTTGCCTCTCCTCCTGTGATCTTTGCAATGAAATATGAAAATGAAGGCAAAGTGCTTACAAAACAATCAGACTGGAGGCTGGGCATGGTAGCACACCCCTGAAGTCCCAGCACTTGGGAAGCTAAGGCAGGAGGCTTGCTGTGAGTATGAGGCCAGCCTGGGCTACAACGTGAGCTTAAAGCCAGCCTTTTTTTTTTTGGTGGTTCTGGGGATTGAGCCCAGGAACTTGTGCTTGCCAGGCAAGCGCTTATTCTACTGAGCTGTCTCCCTGGGCCCTTGGCCCCCTTACATAGTAGTAGTGCTTTTTTTTTTTTTTTTTTTTTTACCAGGGATTGAACTCAGGACCTTTCGCTTGCCAGGCAAGTGCTTATTGTACTGAGCTATCTCCCCACCCAGTTCAAAGCCAGCCTGAACTGCATAGTGAGACCCTGTCTCAAAATGAAAAAAAAAAAAAAGGAAAATGACTAAGTATCAGTGGCAGAGCACATGATTGTCTGGTAAATCCGAGGCAAGGGCTCCATCCTCAGCACCACAAGGGAAAAATTTAACAATGAAGAGCTGGCCAGATAGCTCAGCGGATTAAAGCACCTGCTTAGGCAGATGCAGGGACCAGGGTTCCATTCCTAGGCTTGCCCTGCCTACTCCACCCTCAGGGTGTGATGAGACAGCCATTGAGACTGGGTGCAGTGGTGCACGCCTGTAATCCCAGCACTTGGGAGGCTGAAAAGGAGGAGGAGCACTAGGAGTCCAATCTGGGTAGTGAGACCCTGCAGCGTCATGTGTTGAGGTCGGCGCTCTGCCTGGGCCAGAGCAGAGCCTGTGTATAATCCAGAGCAGTCCGACTGAGCAGCCAGCTGCCCAGATGTGTGAACAGGTTCTGTGTGGGGCGCTTCCAGAGTGCTGAGTCGTCACACAGGCAGTGTGCTCTGAAAACTGGGCCAGCGACTGGGAAGGCTGCGTAGAGGAAGGCGGCGAAGCGTTCATCCAATGTGAAAGTGGAACAACTTTTTCGCCATTATGTATCTTATGATAAAGCTGTGTAAAGGGGCTGGTGAGATGGCTCAGTGGTCTAAAGCACCTACTTAGAACAAGCTTAGCAAAACACAGGGAGCGCGGTTCAATCCCCCAGCACCACATGCCAGCCAGCTCCGCCTCCTGGTGGGCTGAGCTGGCCACACACACACACACACACACACACACACACACAAATAAAATAATTTTTTTAAAAAAGCTGTGTAAAATCTATATGGTGGTAAACTCTTACGTTAAATATTGCAGCTAGGACATTGGGTTCTGGGATGCCTGGAGTCCTAGAATTTGGGAGACTGAGGCAGGAGGATGCTTAAGCCTTGGGAATTTGAGACCAGCCTGGCACCCTCAACATGAGTACTGACAATTTTTAAAATTTAAACTACAGATAGGGAGGAGATGACTGAATATGTGAGACTGGCCAAATGTACTCATATTGGCTTCCTGGTAAAAACAACACAGTCTTGTGCTCTCTGGTTAAGGCTGAGTTGTTTGTTTTTGCTTTGGTTCTTTTTGAGACGGGCTTGATGGGTTGTGCAGACTGGCCTTGAACTCATGCTCTTCCTGCCTCGGCCTCCCAAGTGCTGGGATTACAGGCTGTGGTACCACACCTGGCTTCAAGTGCCAGAGTGTGTTGTCTTCAAGACAGCTGTCAGT